TCAGCTAAACTATTACAGAGAAGGATCATCTCAGCCACAAAAATGTTTCACACCATTAAAATGCATGGAAATCTCCACAGCAAAGCACTCTGGGTATCAGGGGACAACGCTTGGATCTTAGAAACTGTCCACATTTGTTTCTGTCTGCTCTACTGAAACTACTGACAGAGTGGAAATATTTTCACAGCTGTACAGATGCACTATGGCCTCACTGTGACTGGCAGCTTACTAGTTTGCTACATTACAAAAAAGAGCACAGCTTTTCCTGCCCACTAGGTAGCCCATGGCATTTGCTAAAACTACTGCATGTTTGTTATCACTTCCATTCATGTATCTGCATCTTCTAGGTTGTTTTAGTCCCTTTTCACAACAGTGTTTAGTTTATACCTTGCACTTAAACTGGGCCTTATTTAAAATACAGCCTCTTTATAAACCAAGAATGGAGTTATAGCACTATTTTAGCTCTTTGTGCTGTTCCTTCAGGTTTAAGACACTAATTCAAATTGGCTGCCTGTCTGAGTTGAAAGAGGAAGGATGAAGTGGCGTCGAGAAATCCCCAGTCAGCTGTGATGTAATGGCTCATTTGAAGTCCAGGGGAGACTAGACGATTCGCATTCTTTGGAAATGAACTCTACTGAAAGAAATTCCACTGGTTTCCGGTTCCAAAGTCTACCCCTACATCTTCCACTGGAGAAAACTTAGATTTACGTGACAGCAACCACAAAAATCCAAATAAGCTATTAAACTGTTTTCACCAAAGTAAATGACGAGGGGGTAGTAATTTTTCTCCTGAATGAGTTGAGAATTGCATTAAGATCCACTTCACCTCTCAACTCCAAGCTACACTTGCAATTATTAATGTTTTCTGGTGCTGTGAAAGGTTTCTTTACATGAGTAATCTTTGCAAACGCAGCAGAAAAGCAGGCCAATGTGCTCATTTATGATAAGTTAACAAATACACAAAATGCTGATTTTGCATCAGTAAGATAAACTCTTTTAATTAGTATATACATATCACTAAAATGTTGCATGGCCAAAAAAGACTAGGAATCCACAGCCATGGTAGCAGCTCTGACAGGCTATAGGTGTTTTGACAATGCCCTTGATGTTTAGCAGGTGTTATTTTTATTATGTTTACCATCTTAGCGTTTGCTAATTAGCAATAACACACAGTACAGCTGAGGCTGATGGGAATGTCACTGGGCAACAGGCTCATGAACATGTATTCATTTCATGGCAATCTATTCAATATTGTTGAGATATTTCACTCAAACCTGCAAAATCATGGTGGTTCCAGGAGAAAACTCAGGGATTGACACCAGCATTAGTACTGATTTTCTCGGCATAACAAGTGGCTGTATTAAATTTTATGGCAGTTCATCCAGTAGTTATTGAGATATTTCAGTACTGGAATGGCCAACCATTAGACACCATCCCTAGAAACAAGCTCCTAGCTAGCTTCTACAGAGAGTTTACTGTGCTGTTAGGTCAAAATGGTTTTACAGTGTTTATGGCTGACATAGATATCAAATACAACTTTGAAGTGGTGTCATATGAGAGATAGTATTTCAGATCACACCACCGAGTCCTTTAATGGTTCAAGCTCCTTGTTCTGCCTTTTGTAAGTTTTGCAAGAATAACAAAGCAGTGATCTAAGTCCTTTATCCAGGCTCAGACACTGGCCTCAGTAATGTAAGACTCAGTCAGAATCAGACAATGCCTGAATGCGTGCATGCATTGGGTTCGTGGGTTGTTCGGGTGCATGTGTGTTGCCAGCTAATTCCTTGGGAGAAATCCTTGTTAGCCCGGACGATTTGGGGAGCTCTCAGAGGAGAAGCCTTGCTCCGGTCTCTCATCAAGCAGATGACAGAGGCCTGCGTGTTCTGCATGCTGCGCTCATCTTGGCCATGATAGCCTCACCGCACAGGCCATACTGTATCTCTACTTCATTTATTCATTGTCTGATAATAGCAAATGTCTCCTTTCTGCTATACTCAATTACATCTTCATTAGCTTGCTAACTAGCTTAAAACAAACCAGCACTGTATGAAGAGTCTATGTGCCATTTATTATCAAGATGCCTGAGTCTGTAAGTAATGGCCATGAGGGGTACAACATGATGTTTATGTCTTCATTTCTTCTTCAAGACCACTCAGTGTCTCATCATAACACCAATTCATTTTAATTTATCAGCTAATGAACTCAGTTCATTCATCATTTACTCTGCCTGTTATCTAAACAAGGTGACTGGCTGACATATTGGTCTCTTACTTTGGTTTGCTGCCAATCAAATACCAGTCTCATAGTAATTAGCACATAAACAGTGGGGAGGTGTTCCCATAAGACAAACAGATATATTACATCAGATCCCACTGAAGAGCAATCTAATAAAAACCATACAGAATAATTAGCTGCCAGTGACTTTTCTTGTACAATGAAATGACAAGGTAGATTAGAGCAGATAAGCGTGAAAGAAATGTCAAGTACACAACTGGAAACAAAGCTACAGATGTGAAACATACTGTGACAAACACCAAGAGAGTATTCCATTTAAAAGCCTTTCAGTTTCATTTCCACTACACCGTCACATTTCCTTCATTGTTGCAGTTCCGCTCCTTCAGTCATTAAAAACAGGATGCTCCCTTTATTTGAGGGAAGTTCCAACATGTCGAAACAATCTTTGTTTGTCACTGTTTTTGTTATCCTGAACAGCTGTGGCCTCAATAAGAACATTCTTGCCTTTCTCTAAGTGGAACAGATAACACAAGAGCGGGTCACTGTATACCTCCCATGTGTATTTCCCAATTGTTTAAACAGTCTCATTGTCCTTTTGATCTCTTTCTTCTCATTTTATCCCTTCTTTTCTTTACAGTAATCTCGAGGTTTGAGCTCATTTGCTCGCACTACTGTACCTTTCTCCTCCTCTCTCCTCAGACCAGCACCAGCTCTTGTCACAGTCAGCAGGTTAAATATTTGGTCAGAGTTCAGAGCGGAGCTGAACTTTCTGAACAAAGTGTCTTTTAATGAGACATAAACAGACAATAAGCAGTATCTTAAATGTCCAGCCTTCCTTCCTGTGGCTAATGCCCCTGACATGATGTCAAGAAGCAGGTCTACCCAAGCAGTCTATCCATAATGTATCACCAGGGCCAGTGGTGTGGATGACAGGTCTGTCAACAAGTGAAGAAAACAATTCAATAAATTGCTGTTCCCTGACAATGGGATTTCAAAAAAGCAAAACCATTATTTGACTTTAACCATTTCAAAACCAAAATCCAACAACACAGATGCCCTGTACAGGAAGGGCCAGAGCCGCCTCCACTTGTTGAGGAGACTGAGGTCCTTTGGTGTGTGCGGGGCACTCCTTCAGACATTTTATGATACTGTGGTGGCATCTGAAGTTTTTTACGCTGTTGTGGGTTGGGCAGGAGGTAGCACGGTCAGGGACAGAAAGAGACTCAACAAGCTGGTTAAGAGAGCTGGTTCTGTCCTGGACTGCTCTCTGGATTCCATCGAGGAGGTGGCGGACAGAAGGATGCAGGTAAAACTAACATCCATCATGTATAACCCCTCCCATCCCCTGCACCACACAGTGGAGGCTCTGAACAGTTCTTTTAGCACAAAACTGTTACAGCCCCAGTGTAGGAAGGAGCATTGCCATAGGTCATTCCTCCCCACAGCTATCAGACTGTACAATACATCACTGCAGTGATAAGATAGGTGAAATTATGAGGGACTATGCAATAATGAACTGAGGTGCAATACTCAAATCCTGGAGGTAAAATGCATTAGAAATATGCACATGTGTAAAATCTTGTCCTTGATTTCTCTCAAATACTTTATATTGTCTTGTTTTAGGTATTTTTGAGTAGTTCTTCAGAGACCCTCATGGCTGAAACACAGGTATTTTCCCCATTGTGGGATTAATGAGAATAATATTCTCATTCTTGATTTCTTGATTCCTCTCAAATATTATATATTTTCCTGTTCTTAGGTATATTTGATATGTTTCTCAGGTATTAATTGTGGGAGGATTATCTTGTTCCTGATTGTATCTTAAATATTATATTTTGTCTGGATTTTAGGTACTTGGAATTTGTTTCTCATGATATGTGTGTAGTGTTTTGTTGCTTGCTCTCTATTTCTGCTGGAACACAAGAATTTCCCCATTGTGAGATCAGTAAAGTCCTACCTTACCTTACCTTACCTTATATGCATGCATCTAAAAACTGCGAACTGTAATTCCTCATTCAACCTCATCCTTGATGTGTCTTCTCCAGCAGTGTAAAAAAGTTTTTGCATACTTCAGCTGGATTATACTGCTGATGTCAGAGTAAAATCACAAACCCTAAGTGAAAAATCACACCCTACAACCAAAACATTCTCTTCGCACTTGTCTGTTTCTCTAAGCTGGGTTGCTTTGACAACAGGGAGGAGACATCTGTAAATGGATGATACATGTGGGTAGACCTACTACTGTGAAATGACAGCACAATATGAACACAACCATGATGAAAAAGTCGCAGCGACGTTCTTTTACAAGCCACTTAAACAAATCAGAAGAATTTCCTTCCCCCCGCACAAAGCTTGTATTTGTGATAATAAGATATAATGGAGTCAAAGCCCCCACAGACGAATTACAGCAGAAAGTCTAAATGAGCATTGTTTCGTAACACAGAATATGGTGCCTGACCTAAATTTGCAGGTTTCCTGATTTAGAGGCAGAAGTGAAACCCAACGCAAAACCAGTGTAGACGTACAGGAAGTGCTGATACAAACAAAGTAGAATGGGTGACGGGTTCCTGAGACGTGATGTGACACTAACATGAGTCAGTTATGTTTAGGTGCAGGAATACTGAATATAACTTATCATCAGTATTGTCAACGGTATTTTTTTTTAGAAAAGTGAACATGTGGTAATCAACACCAACAGTATCTCTGGATTTACAATCAGGTTAAATTTAATTTTATTTATCAATATAAAAGACAAAAATTCAAAACACTGTCAAAATGTAGCTTTATGTTTATGTGCATTCATATGTACAGCAATTTATATAAAAATTCATATGAACAAGAACTGTACACTAGAAACATCAGTATAAAATTAATATTACACAGCAGATCTGAAACCCTTGGATTTGAAATTAATTTAAAACTAAAGTGCCATCTGTCATTTTGAACTAGACAAAGATCAGCCTCCTTTAAAAATATGGCACTGAGGATTTTCGAGCCCTTTACTGGCACTGTACTTATGGGAATTTTAAATGCAGCACAAGCATGTCTTCTATACTCTAGGCAGTGTTTTCTCATACGCCCAGACAGATGGAAGCTACTTTCAGGAATATATTACATATCTTGGATCTGATGCTGCAGGGACGTCGTCTTGCCAGCTGGACACATCATTGCCATGGGTCTTGCATTTTGGAAGCGAGTGCCCCTGGTGTTAACTTTTTCCCCTGGAGCAGCCAAGTAGAGTGTTTCCTCCCTCAGATCTGCTCTGGTGTAGATCTGCTCGACAGTAGCCGGCCACGTTTCCCCCACCCCCCCGCCCCCGCGTACATGGTTCACTTTCCGTCTCTGTTCACATCTCTGCAAGAGAGGGAGTGAGACAAATACAGAAGCTCAGGAGCAGGAACAAGAGGAAAAAGCACACACACAAACATGCAGACAAGTGAGCCTTGTAAAGACAGTTGAAGTCATGATTCATTTGTAACATTCTCACTGTGCTGAGACCACTGAGAGTAGAGGATACATGTTTTGTTCTTTGTGGTTTGTGTGTGTGTGTGTGTGTGTGTGTGTGTGTGTGTGTGTGTGCAGGGACATGCCAGTTCACAGGCCTCTGAAACACCACTGCTCAGAGCAGGATCATGATGCTCATGTAGTATCTTATTATCACTAAAGGGTATGTAGAAAGTCCACCTGAATTTGCAGACATGGCATTTACACTCAAGAGGTGCTCAGAGATAATCGGGAGTGGAGGGTGTGGAGGGTGTGGGGTAGTACAGAGTAGAAACGAGGTGGCTCCTATACTACACACTGTGTTTTTGAATTTGTAACAAAACATGTGACATCTCAGCTCTGCAGCCTGCCAGCTTGTCTGCTTTGGTGCAAAAAGAATAAAGTAAAACTGAGCGATAGGCTGTGTAATTCTCTTAACACGCACCAGCAAGTTCCCGGTCCAACATGTCGATAAAGCTCTCGAGTTCCCTTGTGTCTCCCAGCTTGGCTGCAGAAAGCGTACAGAAAGAAAAGGAATTAGAGAAACTACGGGGGAATAAAAACAGAAGTGGAACATTTTTGTGGAGAAATGCAGCTCAGTTACATAAGTGATATTTCCTTAGAACTAAAAACTAAAAACCAGTCTTAGCCCCAGAATTACATGATCAGCTTCTAAGATAAAGCACAATAAAACCTCGACAGCTTGACGGATTCTGCCTGGGTCTGTGTTGTAAATATCTTAAGGTATTCTGCGCTAACACAGAGTGAACGGCACCTCCTGGCCACGTTGCTGTTTTCATCCATTTACACTTAACTCTAGTCTGTGCATTTGTATGTAGCAAAACACAACAGCTTTCATTCATTTTCACACACACACCTGAACCAGTGTCACCACTACACAAAAGCACAAATACCCCTCCCCCCCCGCGGGAGACTTTGAAAGCTCGGGGCTGGGATGGCACAGCAGCAGGGGCTTTGTTGTGTAAAAACAAACGAGCTCCCAGTCTAATGCGGACGGTTTTGTGTGGCTGTGATAGTGATCAGAGAAAAAGTGATAGTGATCGCTGTAAGGATGGAGATAGGCTGATAGACGCCTCTGGTACCTTTTGGTGCCTGCATTACACCTGCTGTGTGAAGCTCCTCCTCGCTGGTGTTCAAACTATTTCCCAAAGAAGCTTCGCTGCCTGGGGAAAGAGGGGAGGGAGTGAGCGAAGACAGCAAACAAAAAAAAAAAAAAACAAGTACTAAGGTCATCCCATGTAAATGGTAAACAAACACACAATGGCAAACGCTTTAACACTATACAGGAGTTGCACATAATAACAGTGGTGGGAGGTAACTAAGTACATTTACTCAAGTACTGTACTGTACTTAAGTACAACTGACGTATCTGTACTTTACTTGAGTAGTTTCATTTTGTGCTACTTCATACTTCGACTTCACCACATTTCAGATGTAAATATTATACTTTTTACTCCACTATATTATTTATGACATTTGTTACTAGTCAATTTTCAGAACCAGATTAATACAAAAACAACAGTATAATCATAAGACTTTGTTGATTTCAGGTGTAAAATTCACAAGCTATGCAGCAGTAATTCAAATTCTAAGTATGTGAAGTAGTTAAAATTAGCTCCCCCTTTACCAGCCACAACATTAAATGTGATGTAGGCTACACAATAATGCACCAGTAATTACAGTCCAATAATATGATATACATCCATGTTAATTGTGCTATTCTGCATAATGAATACTTTTACTTTTAGTACTTTACTGTATATGTTTTGATGCTAATACCTTTGCACTTTTACTTAAGTAACATTTCGAATACAGGACTTTTTCTTGCAACAGAGTATTTGTACGCTGATTTATTGTTACTTTTACTTAAGTAAGGGATCTGAGCATATCATCCACCACTGCATAATTATAATAACATGCAACAGTTCACTGGTAGCAACCC